ATTCTGAAACTTAAAGAACCAAAAAACGTTACAACGATATCTAAATGACATTTCATTTTACACAACTAGCTACGTGAAGCTTTGCTTACGATTGTGTTCGTTAACACTGTAGACTGTGCCTATAGAACAGTAGAGAATAGTTATCACTTTAACTTAGTATATACATGTTCTTGTTTTCTTCGATGACGCTTTTGTAATTTGTCTCTCATGTCGTGAAAATAACCTAGCGTCGCAATGTCATACAGTTTCGCAAGGTCTTTTTCGTTGACAGAAGATGATAGGAACCGCTTAGTTAATGCACCTGAAGTTTTAAAAAAACATATCCTATTTCGTATGCAGCTGTAAAACCTGCACTTCTGAAGTGCCAAGTAGCGTTAAATGACTGGCAACTTCAAGTGTCATGATGTATGACAAAATATTATCGCATTGATGTTTTAGGATTATCGTCCACTAACCGCGTCAGCATGACCATCTGTAATAAAAACAGATGATCAAATTAGTTTTGTTAACTTAACTTCCTGCTGAAGACAAGCATCCAGCGTTCCCAATTCCTCTTCAGATGTTAAAGGGTATTGTTGATTTGACAGTCCGCAATCGAATTTTCGCGAATGTTCACGCTCACCAGACTTGAACAGTAGCTGCTTCATATTAGCACTCACGTCAGAAATACCCGGCGATATTTTCTGCAGTACAGTATGCATTCTACTGAATCTCAAAAACTCAATCGGATACGTGACCTACTAGGCCGTTAACGCACTGCCTACACGCCTAAATTCGAGCGTTGACGGCGACGTATACCATTGTGTCGAACTAATTAATTAACATTTTAAAAGTAAACAAGCCTACTTAGCAATCGGCGAGACAACACTGTCGAACAATCGGAGTTTGGGATATTGGACGTGGCTATTTTCAGCCTGCACCTCGGCCACATCCATCTCAACGGAATTGTAAAGAAACCCTTCCTTACGTTTCAATTCACCTCTACAAATGGTTAGTAAGATTATTGTACTGACCTCTTCGGCTTCTCAGTGTTTAGCGGCAAAGTGTCTTGGTCCATTGAACTGTTTATACGGTAAAAGATACCAACAAGTCCTTTGAAGACTGGAGACTATCTATAGTAAATGATCGTTTCTATGTTTGTGACTCACCGCATTTGTAAATGACGTTACACTTCAGGACTGACCAATTGTCATCTGAATGGTCAATGTTTTGTAGATACATATTAGCAAGCTCCGGTGGATAGAGACAAACTTCTTTACCAGCAATCCACTGCTTACCTGCTATCATAATCTGCTTCTTGCTTGGTACGTCTACAATGAAATGTTTGTTAGCAGGCTAAATATTAAATAAGAGGTAATGAAATGCTTTATGGTCATACCTTCAGCACAAATAAAACAAAATACATTTACATAAAAGTATGGGACAATAACTAAATAATGGACACAGTAAGTGACAATACATTTACAGTCAATATCCCTAACGGAGTCTCATGTGTGTTAATGACTAACTACCGAGCTTTTAAATATTCATATGTTGCTAGAGGGGAAGGGATCTTCGAAGTAATTGCGTGGGTCTGTGAATGACCTAAATTTTGTTAATCCATTCTCCCTTACATCAGTGACTAAACCAGGCTTTCCATGTACCAGCAAAACGTTAACCGGCTGAAATGAAGCTATTTTAATATTCTTATCCATAATTACTTGTTTGCGTGAGTCAAGTTTACCGGTTTTTGGGGTACTATGCTCGCTTGAAGCCCATTACAGAAACACATATTTTCCGCATAACGCTGAGCTGCTTGTTTAGCAACAGCATACCTGCTATGCACTGATTTCTTAATTTGTTTCATATAGGGAAGCTGAAAAACTCTCTCAAGGTCCATGTGCACGAACATCGTTAGTAAGGTGCTACAACAAATGAATATTGCAAACTAAGTTTTCAGATCCATAACACCATTCATATTCCTTAAGAAAGTGCTTTAAATCCATTCTGACGAATTCTGTAACGCTATTATGTAATTTTCGATGTTCTAGCAAGTAAATCAACAATGCTAAAAGCTTTAAATTAAAGTACAAGGGTTGCGGCAAAGTTTGTTGCAGAATTACGGGGCTTAAATATAGAAAGACCAATCGATACTCTGAAGCTTTCCATACTGATACCAAGTCTAATGTACGGCGTTTATGCTGAAAGTCAGATGGAGTACTTGTCACGCAACTAGATATTAACTTATTTATATCCCTACTTACCATTTGGAAAAGTTCAATTTCCGTCAATCAAAACTGCAATGCGATAATATTTTGTCATACATCATGACACTTGAAGTTGCCAGTCATTTAACGCTACTTGGCACTTCAGAAGTGCAGGTTTTACAGCTGCATACGAAATAGGATATGTTTTTTTAAAACTTCAGGTGCATTAACTAAGCGGTTCCTATCATCTTCTGTCAACGAAAAAGACCTTGCGAAACTGTATGACATTGCGACGCTAGGTTATTTTCACGACATGAGAGACAAATTACAAAAGCGTCATCGAAGAAAACAAGAACATGTATATACTAAGTTAAAGTGATAACTATTCTCTACTGTTCTATAGGCACAGTCTACAGTGTTAACGAACACAATCGTAAGCAAAGCTTCACGTAGCTAGTTGTGTAAAATGAAATGTCATTTAGATATCGTTGTAACGTTTTTTGGTTCTTTAAGTTTCAGAATTGACAAGAAGATTACTTTGATTCTCAATAGTGGAACAGGTATCACGAAAAGAAATAACCAGTGGAATATTTTTCATGTTTCACTTCGTTTTCAATAAACATTTCTAAACATGAGCTTACTTTTTTGCTTACAGGGGTAGCTCTTTGACTAAGTGTTCAGAAAGCCTGTTTGATTTTGAATGCACTTGCAATATGGTACACATGCCTTATTAATAAATCATACATCACCTGTTCTTTCTTTTGTAGATCTTCTCAGATTACAATAAGACTTGGCAATTACAATTGAAATACGTGATGATCGATGGATGCTCTAGCATCTGTCAACTACTCACAATGTTGTAGAATATGACGTTTTTCTCTTTTCAATAAATGTCTTTAGACATGTACTATTTTTAACGTCGATGGCAGATTTTGTGTGATGTGTTATGGAAATAAAAGCGAACGTAGGAGATGTTTGGGGTGATGCCGAATATGTATTAAAAGATGAATCAAAATTAGATAAATCGGCTTGTATCTGGTGAAAAGTAGACAGTTTTGCGTATATTTTGGCGAGAGTAGACAATTCGACGACATAAATATGAAAATCTGCATTGTTTTCCTCGAATAGGTGAAAAAGGATATATTTTAGCACGTTTCCTTTTTGTTCGCCTTTATTCCATCTTTGTTGGTTGATTAGGTGCTTTCTGAATAATGTAAACCAAGTCTCTGTGTACACTACTCAAGTAAATTTGTGGCATCGAAATTCATGAGTGATATGACATTACCTATCCTCTGTTTCATATAACGAAGGGGGCTGAAAGAATGTATATACACCCAAAATATCTTCATTGTCGAAGGCCATCCTCTGAAACCGGTTTTTATCCCAATCTGCCTATTTCGGAGAAACCTTGAAAAAATTTTGGGTTTTTCCCAAATTTTGTGAGAAAACCCCAAAGTGTTGTAAAATTCCGAGGGAATATTTTGAAAAATCCAAAATTTTTCTAGAGTGTTTGGGATTTTCCCCAGACCTGCTTAAAATTTTGGGGTTTTGTATCATTTCCCCAAAGTTTTCTATCACGGCTTCCACAAAATCTCCTGAAAACGGAGATTGGGATACTGCATCATAAACATAAGTGTAGGCGATTCGTTTGTCAACTAGAACTTTAATGTATATAAGTATAAAGACTACTACCTAAGTATCGTAAATGTTTGCATTTCTTTTACTGGCTTGATTTGATCGGTTGTATTTTAGTCGTTTCAATGTTAGCGTGTAGGCTTCAGTTTGATAAATTCCTCCTGTAAAGAAAGCCAGAAATTAAACCAAATATTCCGTATGCTGTCAACACATTTTACGTGTCTTTATCTTGTTCATTTTGTCAAATGGCTTTTCGATTGTTCAAGATGATATGTATATAATTTTTATTCCTGAAATAGTGATTTAGAACGATTTAGTCAGTACAAAGATAGTGAGTCTATTGTAGCTTATTTATTTATTTGTTTACATAAATATTGGTACGAATGGGCACTGAATACAGGTCGCTAGATTTTTGTGTGGCCTGTGATACTGCCCGGATGCCCAGACCGAAGCATGTGATTTCCTTAGGGCCCGACGCCCGGAGCCTTCAACCTAAAGGTTTGATCCACAAAACAGTGAAGCAACATCAGGAATGCAGTTTCACGGTATCCGGCGACCAATATTAGGTTTATATGCCATTTATTCCTTCAGGATCCTGAAACTCATGTGCACCATTGGTTTAGAATCAGGGTTCATCAACTCTCTTATGTGAATTCATCATATGCACTGAGCAGGTTAAATCGTTGGACATTTGCTTTTCATCCTCTGAATTTCGTATACGGCCGAGAGTGGAGAGAGTCCGCTCTCCCTGTCCAAATGCTCTCACATCGCCACGCATATATAGCCTCTGCCAGGGAAGTTCTACTCACTGCCTTCACGTGGCTGGGGTGTTGTTTACAAAAATGAGAGAACGAAAAGCGAATGTCCGGTGCTTTCACCGGATCCCAAATCAATGGTGCACATGAACTGGCTCCAGTATCATGAAGGAACAAATGACATATGAACCAATCGTTGGTCACCGGCTACCATGGGATTGCATCTCCTTACGATGCCCCACTACCTTGTGGATTAGACCTATAGATCAAAGGCTCAAGGTGTGGCCCCCTAAGAAAACCAACTGCTTCGCTTTGGGTACCCGGACAGTATCATAGCCCTCACACATATCAAATGAGATTTGTGTGGCGTATATGTATTTGTTGCCTTCTTGTACCAATATCTATGTGTTAAAATAAATAAATAAATAATAATAATAATAATAATAGAACAGTGATGCTGCCAGAAAGTAGTGAGAACTTTCCTTGGCAATGGTTAATTGTACGTGACTATGTGAGAAGATTTCAAGAAGGAGATCTGACTTTTCTTAGTTACTACTATATCATCAACATTTAAGGGCTATCATTTATTAATATTACTTATCAAGTTATTTTAATTAAACTAATTTGTATTCATTCATTTTTTTCTTTTTTTTTTTGATTTATTTTTATTATAGATCATGATAATATATTGTTAATATCCAATGTTATCCTTCTTTCTGTCTCTCTCTCTCTCTCTCTCTCTCTCCTTTTACCTATCCATTGACCTTTGAACTTTTTAAAAGAGAACATATTTAAACTATTTTTGTTTTATTCCTTTCTTACTCTTTTTATTTATTTATCTATAAAGTAATAATGAATATTTCTCTTCTTGTTTATTTATCTTTTTCGTTATATACTACTTATTGTTTAGCTCAAAATGAATCAAATCTAGTTGATCAATTATCAAATTTCTTTATACGAAATGAAACATTTATGAATATTCTATCATTCAATTGGTTAAATTATTTTATTAATTTACCTGGTTCTAGTTATTTCATTGCATTTATTTATTGGTTACGTCATCCATTACTTTTATGTTTTTTATTACCATTTTTATTAATATTTTTTATATATTTTACTGTTCTATTATTACATTTATATCATTTACGTTATTGGTTACGACGTTATTTCAATCATTTATTCATTAAATTTAGACAATTATCTAATACATCAACAATATCAACTAGTTCTATATATTTAGATACATTAGTAGAATTATTACGTCATATTATTGTTGTTATATGGGATGCACATGGACGTATATTTCATGGTTATGAAATAATTGGTATGGAGAAATTACCATACAATGGACCAATTTATTTAGTTTATTATCATGGTACATGTCCATTTGATGCATATTATTTTACATCAAGATATTGTATTGAACGTGATAGGTAAAAAATTGTATTTTTTTTTTATTTCATAAATTGAAATTAGTATTATCTAGTTAAATGTAATGTAGAATATGTCATATGTGAACGTTAAATCAATTTACTATACCATGTCATCATATCAAATCACTTAGGAGATTTTTGAAAACTACCTAGTGACAAAATTGATTTATTTATTTTAACACATAGATATTGGTACACGGACGCACCAAATACATATGTACCACATGAATCTCAATTGATTTGTGTGTGGGTTGTGATACTGTCCGGGTGCCCAAACCCAACCATGTGGTTTTCTTAGGGGGCCACACCTTGAATCTTCGACTTGAACGTCTGACCCACAAGGCAATGGAGCATCGTGAGGAGATGCAGTCCCATGGTAGCCGGTGACCAACGATTGGTTCATACGCCATTTGTCCCTTCAGGATACTGGAGCCAGTCCATGTGCACCATTGGTTTGGAATCCGGTGAAAGCGCCGGACATTCGCTTTTCATCCTCTCATTTTCGTAAACAACAGTAGTGCCACGTGAAGGCAGTGAGTAGGACTTCCCTGGCAGAGGCTATATATGCGTGGCCATGTGAGAGCATTTGGAGAGGGAGATCGGACTCTCTCCACTCTCGGCCGTACCAGGGCATTTGGGGGCAGTGACAAAAACCATCAATTATGCTAATCTTCACTAAACTCATCAACCGAACTGTAGCCTCATCTTCACTTGTAATTAACTTTGTGATGAGTCCCAGCGTAAAGTTGTATCTGCTGCAGTTCCGGCATGTTGAAAGTGAAATAGTGATCACGTACAACCTTCACGCTGTTAAAAAATGATTAAAGTTGGAAATTTAGATCATTAAATTTCAGCTGATCTATTATGACGCTAAATGCTCTGTGTGATCTCGGAATTTCTTGAGTTCAACCCTTAGTGGTGTTGTGGCAAGGAATGCTGAGCTTCGTAATAGGACGAGACAAATGTTCAGTGCTTTCTGGTTTTCAGCAGTTGTTTAACTAATATCAGTCAGTAATGTTGAACTACAAAGTTCAACAATTTCCAAAAGCGCCCTATGCTAGAAATATTATTTCAAATATATTCTAATATCTGTCGCTTGTAAACGCTGGCATTTTTAGTTTCATGATATGAATTCTCTTACAAATGCTCAGGTGTATCTGAAACTAAAGAAAACGAGATTGAAAAGTCGAATGCTTTTCATCGAACTCATTTTGAACATCCTGTAAGTACTTGTAGATAGTATTCATTCCTTCGAAGTATCAGCTGAGGTCAATTCGTGACATTTATCATGTACAAATTAAACTAATCCACAAAAATCCGTGTTTATATTTCTCCCGAATCGCTTGAAAGTATGTATAACCTATGACTTTTTGGGGAATGCAATCATTTATTTAACATATAAATCAGTTAATTAATTGCATTCCACTATTAGTCGACTGAAAACGGTGAACTACTGAGTCGTTTCATCGAATGGTTTAGTTTGAAGTAAAATGAAAACTCCCGTATTTCGAAAGTGTTTGATAGTAACAGGCTGTTGTCTTTCATGAGAAGTTTAAGACTTGTACTGTTTATGTTCATCAACATATAACCTGAACTCACGATGATGGCTGGTGTAGGAGCAGGTTGGTAGACAGTTAGCGACGGCCCAACCAAAACATGGCATCATTTCATGAAGAAATTGACAACTGAATTGAGCCGTGTGGGTAGTTGCATACTATTTAATTGTAGTCTATCTGATTATCGTAACCAATGGTTAGAGGCTTTGGGTGACACATAGCTTTGAATCGTTCATTGGTTTTTTAATTCTCTATAAAGTTTTATTTTATTCCACTAATTTATGTTTTCTCGAATCGTATCTTTGATGTTTGATGTTTACCATAACTACACCTACTCCTTATGGATTCACCCTGACGATTTAATCTCATTGTTCTTATGGAATATGGCAACTTGAACTGATGCACATATGTGCCAGGCTCTACGTTAATGATGGTTGATTATAGAACGATATTAGTTAGGACACTTTATATTTATTCGAATGCTAATCTAATAATTATTTCCGTTTGTAAAATCTAACAGTAGTATCGGCAGACCTCATATGTAAAGTTGAGATATATTGCTGATAGTTCCATACCCTAACGTACCGCTCCAAGTCAAACATAGTTGATGAACCTTAGAGGCTCTTCTGGAGTAAAGGTATTTATGGAGGCAGAGCAAAACTACCGGGGCGCAATCGTTTTTGCAAATTTTTATGTTCTTGGTTTTCCTTCTTGTCCAGTGATGATAGACCATCTATGTACAACATAACAATGATTGGTAATTCCTTTTGAGGTTGGTAATTATTTGTCGCGTCCAGGGTGTGAATATTCATCTAGGTCATTGTTTATTGTTGTTATTGTATTTTCGGTTTTTCTAGGTGCTCGTATTTCTTGAGGGTTTCAGTTTCGTAGATGTGTGTTTGGTTTAGTTGATTTAATTTGGAATGACATGAGTTGATGTGTCTATTGAGTTATCCTTCATTTTTGTAGGTTTTTGTGCAATCATCTAGAGGACATTTATACCCACCCCCCTAAGGCATGAAATCTGTTTTTTTCTCGTTGCTGGTCATTTCTGTTATACCTATTCATTTCCTTAATTGTGGCAAATAATCGCTGACAGTTAACGTCTCCCCATTTTCATATTAGATTTTGTTTGTCAACTATTTTCGGGTTATAGTCACGTAGATTTATGAGTTTTGTTAACCATTTCTTAAGGAGTTTTTCATCAAATCGGTCCAGGTCATGTGCTAATTGTCATAGACGGCTTTTACCGTAAACTGGTCTTCTGCTGCGATTTTTATTATTTGTTCGGCTGTTTAAAGACCTCATCATTAGGCTATTTGGTCTTTTACGTGCTCTACTCTACAGTTCCAGCTTGTTTTGCAGTATTTCCAGTGCTACGTTAGGGAGGGCTATGCATTTTTATAGTTGATTAGCTGTAAGTTGTCTTTTATCATTGATACCCAAAATCATTCCATGAGGAGTATTGAAGACTGCTTTTAGTCTGGTCAAGTCTTTTTTCCTTACGATTGTGGTATATGCTACTTATGTTTGCATACTTTAGTAGTATATAACACCAACCACAAGTGAAATACCCGCAAGCAGAAGGTTGAAAAGATTGAAATGAAGAGATGAAATAAGGAAACTAAAAGCAATCAAAATCACAGCAGGAATGAAGGAACAATAAAGTTTTAAGAAGCAATTCAAAGAAGATGTGCAAATGAAGTATTTAATGTATGGTTTTCATTTTTTTTTTGAAGGCATTCCGTAATTACGCATTAAACAATAAGTTGGTTTTTCCCATCTGAGACTTCGTTTGCTATAGGAATGTAGGCTCAAACCCAGAGGTTAAGATAGGGGTTATTGAAAAATAAGTCAACTTGATTTTTATTCGTGTGCTAATATTTGTGCAGCATGGTATTGGTCTGATTTCGATAAATGTTGTTTTAGCTTTACCAATGTTGGTTTGGATTGCTTCATTGGAAGTCCCATCACTTCTTAGCACTGATCTTACATGGTTGAATGTAGTTACCTCTTCGAGTTTATCGTTGTTGATGACGATTTTAAGTGCATTTCTTTGTTAATTTATTACCATGAATTTGGTTTTGTCATAGGATATTTTGATTCCTAGTTTTGTTAGGTGATTTTAGAGGGAAGTGGGGGTTTTGGTAGTTTGTTCAGTGGTTGTAGTTATTCGACATAGATCATCAGCAAATTCTATGTACGATAATGTTCAGGTTGTATTATTATCGTCGGCTAACTCGAGACAACTTGGTATGTTATCTGCTGTCGAATTAGGAATTTCTTCAAAGGCGAAATTGAAGAAAGGTGGAACTCCTTAATTACATTTTGTACACTTCAATACATAGTGAATTGTAGTTGTGTACCTTTTTTGTAACCTTTATGTTCATCTAACAGCTGGGTGATGTTTCAGTTGATATTGTTTGAGGGACATAGTTTTTGTAGTGTATCTAGAATCAGTTTCTTTGGTAATAAGTTGAAAGCCCTGGTGAGGTCAATAGAAGTCAGTATTGGTTCTTGGTTGGCATATAATTCACCTTGTATTATGTCTGGTTCTGTGATCGCATGTGTAATCGAAAAGCGCTTTCGAAATCTGAATTGATTCGGAGGGATGTTTTGTTTCGTTAGAGTTTTTAGCCTCTCGCAGATCATTCAAGCATATAATTTTCCTATCGTATCGAGTAGGAATATAATTCGATAGTTGTCGGGGTTATTGCATGGTCCTTTGTTTTTGTAGATGTTGATGGAATCTTCGTCAAACCATAGAATTAGACTTTTGTTGGGGGGTTTTTCCGTATATTATCCATTACTTGCATTAGGATTGTTTTTGATTTCAGTCCTCCAAATTTAATCATTTCTACTGTTATACTATTGTGGCTGGGGACCTTATAGACTGTTCTTATTCAACCATAGTTAGGAGAGTTTCGATTCTTCGGTTAGTTTGACTTTCATTCTTTATGAAGTTGAAAGTTTTAGAGTTAAATAACGTTTGATAGTGTTGTGGAAGTTTATTTTCGCTTTATGACTATTATATGGTTGGTTTTGAATGATGTCCAATACTTCTATAGGTAGTTTGTATGCTTGATGCAGTTTGTTTTCCTGAAAAAGGAGTATTTAGTTCATCTATCTTGCTTAGGATATAAATTTCTTTCACTTATCTTTTTATGAATAGTCTTACTTGCTTGTTTACATCTTACTTTATTCTCTTCCTTAAGTTTGTTTAGTCATCTTAGTCTTAGTTCGTTTCTCTGTTTTATTTCAGTTTTTAGCATGTCATCTAATATCCTTTGCCAACGTATATTATTTATACATATTTTAACACATAGATATTGGTACAAGAGGGCACCGAATACATATACGCCACACAGATCTCATTTGATATGTGTGAGGGCTGTGATACTGCCCGGGTGCCCAAACCGAAGCAGGTGGTTTTGTTAGGGGGCCATACCCCGAGCCTTCGACCTGAAGATCTGACCCACAAGACAATGTAGCATCGTGAGGAGATATAGTCCCATGGTAGCCGGTGACCAACGATTGGTTCATACGCTATTTGTTCCTACAAGTTACTGGAGCCCATTGGTTTGGGATCCGGTTAAAGCGCCGGACATTCGCATTTCGTCCTCTCTTTTTCGTAAACAACAGTAATGCGACGAGAAGGCAGTGAGTAGGACTTCCCTGGCAGAGGCTATATATGCGTGGCTATGTGAGAGCATTTGGAGAGGGAGAGCGGACTCTACCCACTCTCGGCCATACCAGGGCATTTGGGGGCGCCAACGTATGTTGATTGACTTGATTGGAGAGGCAGTTTCGTTTGTAGCTTGTATTAGATCATTTTCCATGTGTTTTAGATTCTTGTTTTTATTTCTTTCTAGACGTTGTTCTAATCTAGTTGTATACGCTTTATTTGATGAGTATAATGATGTTTTAACTAGACTACGGTTAGTTTTGAGGTTTACAATATCTGAATTATAAGGATCTATCTAATTTCATTATTGAAATTACCATATGATGATCTGATATAAATTCAAAGGATTAAATAGTATTAATGTCACATACTAGAAGGTTTAACTAACGATCAATTAGGTTTGTCATAAGGTCTGTCATGTGATTGGTATTTGTATCTGGGTGAACTCAGATATATATGTTTGTATTAGGTTTATTACATACGTTCATTATCACAGTGATTTATTAAACTCATGTCATTTGAGGAAGTTTCATTTTCAATGTCGATATACTTTCCTATAATATTTGGTTGACTATTACTAAGTTCTGGCTTCAGGTGACAATTAAAGTCTCCTAAAATGAGTACTAGATAACTTAACGTTCTATGGTGTTTTATTGTTTGTATCAATTTGTGAGAATGGTTCATCTATACCAGTCTTTGTGTTTTTACTTTCGCGTCGTGGAAATTGCAGAGGTCCTTTGTTTCGAGCATAAGTGATAAGCGTTTCCGAAAAAACAATCAACGATGACCAGATATAACAGGTAGTATTCAATCCACAAGACATATCACAATTTCATGTAGAATGGTACTTTTTGGTGTCACTAGTTGATGTTTCTGTAGGGGTATAGCATTCAACCGGGATAAAGGTTTACCTAGTTGTTTGTTTATAGATTTATGCAGTTTATTTATTTGAATTCTAGCCCAATAATTATTTCGGTTTGTAAAATCTAACAGTAGTATCAGCAGACCTCATATGTAAAGTTGAGATATAATGCTGGTAGTTCCATACCCTAACGTACCGCTCCAAGTCAAACATAGTTGATGAACCTTATACGCTCTTCTGGAGTAAAGGTATTTATGGAGACAGCAAAACTACTGTTGATCAGATGTTTTGTCTCACTTCAGTGTAACAATTGACCAAATGTAGCTACTACTTCGGTGTGATCGTCGGACTTGTTTATTGTGATAACGCAGTCGAGCGATTTTGCATGAAACACTTGTTCTCCTAGGTCCTGTTTTACCGCTTGCTTCGGTTTGGGCGCTCGGTCAGTATCTCAGCTCTCACACAACTCATTTGACTTGGACGGTGCACATGCGTTTGCCGCCTGCTTGTACCAATGTTTGTCTATTGAATAAATAAATCTTATCATACCGGGCAGGTCGGTAAGAATAAATGAAGTGACTTAAGGTCCGAGAGGAGAGTTTTACTGCTGACTGTAGAGGACTGTGACAGTAGTAAGGTGTTCCCGTCAGACAACTAAAATCTGCATTGATACTGCCATCTTACAACAGGAAAAGGGGGTTGAAAGTGTTGATCCTACGAATGCTACATCTCATTTTACCTGATGGATTTTTATCGGAAGCGGTAAGGCCTTTCCAAGTACGAAACTATTAAGTCAAAAAATTCTGGTACAAAGGCTATATCTGACCGGCATCAGCAGTTGTACTTTGAGTTCTGCAGCCACTCTTTTAGGTCACTAACCCAGCTCATTTTCGATGTCTCTCAAGAAGAAATATACTCCTACGATGTGGGCAGCCCGGAAGTAACAATCGCCCTTATACATCAAACAGCAATAAAGATCATCGTGTTCACGATCAATAGTTATTACCTCTACTTTTCGGGGATTTTCCCGTCATACATATTCAAACCTAACACAACACTTAAAACTACCGAGCCTGTATCCAATGATACACATTTTCCCCTCCTGTCAATTTCTAACATAGTGTGATACCTTTTCAATGTCACCAATTAATTATTATCTCACATTTTTATTTAATATCCTTCTCCTAAACTCTACTTACTTACTTACGCCTGTTACTCCTAATGGAGCATAGGCCGCCTACAAGCATTCTCCAACCCACTCTGTCCTGGGCCTTCTTTTCAAGTTCCATCCAATTCTTGTTCATTTTTCTCATGTCTATCTCCATTTCCCGGCTTAATGTGTTCTTTGGTATTCCACTTTTCCTTTGGCCTTGAGGATTCCATGTGAGGGCTTGTCTTGTGACGCAGTTCGGTGCTTTCCTCAATGTGTGTCCTATCCACTTCCAGCGCTTCTTCCTGATTTCTTCCTCCACTGGGATCTGATTTGTTCTCTACCACAGTAGGTTGTTGCTTATAGTGTCCGGCCAGCGGATCTGAAGTATTTTGCGTAGACAACTGTTAATAAACACCTGTATCTTTTGGACGATGGATTTCGTAGTTTCTCCAAGTTTCCGCCCCATACAGTAGAACTGTCTTGACATTTGTATTGAAAATTCTGACTTTGGTGTTGACTGACAATTGTTTTGAGTTCCAGATGTTCTTCAGTTGTAAATATGCTGCTCTTTCTTTGTCGATTCGCGCCTTCACATCTGCATCAGATCCACCATGTTCATCAATGATGCTGCCCAGATATTTAAAGGTTTTTACATTTTCCAAATATTCTCCATCAAGTGTGGTGGAATTGGTTCATGTTGTGTTGTATCGAAGAATCTTGCTTTTCCCTTTGTGTATATTGAGATCTAGTTCTGCTGAGGCTACTGCCAAACTGGTCGCCTTCTCTTGCATTTGTTGTCGTGTGTGCAATAGAAGAGCCTAAACTCTACACCTTTAATTTAATTTATTTACCAAGTACAAATTTATGCATTCAATGCCTTCAAGGTGTAAGTTAGTTGTGTGACTACATTCCACAATTTTTTTATACATGTCATTCATCAACTAGGTGTATAATGTTGTAACTTGTTAAACCTTTTTTTTTTGTTTTTTAAAAACTTATTCCATGTGTTTATGTATATTTATGAATTTCTACAGATTTCCTGTTCCTGTTGTAGACAGATTTTTATTTCGTGTACCTGGACTTGGACGTTTACTAGAAACAATCGGTGCAATTAAAGGTTCTGTTGATGAATGTGTTGCTCATTTGCAACCAGGTCATATTCTTAAAAGTAAGTTACATTATAATATTATCATTAATTTAATCATGTGATACGCTTACACTCAGTAGGGATGTAAATATCGTAACCAATGATTGAAGACTGGGTGATATGGCTCAAAATCGATCATAATGGCGTAGGTGTATACCCTCTCTGTCTTCCCTTAAACTATGAGATCAAAATCGATTCATATCTTTTCTTCTACGAACTAGTTCTTTCTTTCTGTACTATATCCTTATATACAATCTTACTTTTATATTATTATCTCCGTTGAATTAGCTACTTCTATGAATTCGGCGTTCATCTTGTTGTGCTAATGAGGTATGGCAAGTTGAACCGATGTATATATGTGCCTGGTCCTTCGTTGAAGTTGACTTACACTCAGTAATCCAACTTTTCAATAGACGACTAGATATGAACCAAAACGAGTCTGTTAACATATCGTAAAAAGGGTGGAAAATCGGAGTAACTCAATACATTCTGTAAATATTTGTGTAGTTGGCTTTGAGTCATACAAAGCAGGAATTATTTATATTATTTATTTATTTTAACACATAAGTATAGGTACAGGGAGGCACCAAGTACATATGCGCCACACGAATTTCAATTGATTTGTGTGAGGGCTGTGATACTGCTCGGGTGCCCAAACCGAAGCAGGTGGTTTTCTTAGGGGGCCACACCCTGAGCCTTCGACCTGAACGTCTGACCCACAAGGCAGTGGAGCATCGTGAGGAGATGCAGTCCCATGGTAGCCAACCGGTGACCAACGATTGGTTCATACGCCATTCGATCCTTCAGTATACTGGAGCCCATGTGCACCATTGCTTTGGGGTCCGGTGAAAGCGCCGGACATTCGCATTTCGTCCTCTCATTTTTGTAAACAACACCCGTGGTGCGAGAAGGCAGTGAGTAGGACTTCTCTGGCAGAGGCTATATACGCATGGCCATGTGAGAGCATTTGGAGAGGGAGAGCGGACTCTCCCCACTCTGGGCCGTACCAGGGCATTTGAGGGCTAGTAACGCTATCCGGGTGCTCAAACCAAAATAGGTAGAGTAGTGTTCGAACCCTTGACTTATTAGTTGAAAGTCAGAAATTTTAATCACTGATCCTTCGCTCCATTCAGATGTCTGTTTGTACTCCCTAAGCAGTTACTAAACTATTAACTTGGACATATTGACTTGATGATATTTTCATTGTGATCGTTCATATTATTTTATTGCCCATGACAAACGATCTTTGAAGGAGGTAAATGATAGTTTCATGAGTTGATAATATCTAATCACATATACCTTTTTCAGGATTGGTTAAATGTGGTGAAACCGTCCAGTGAGTATTACTACTGACGTTAGGTGTAGAGTAATCAATAGAGACAAGATACTATCAGTGTGTACAGTTAGTTCACTACTGACCTATTTCAATAAGTGCAAACCTCCATTGTAATTGAAATTAGTTCCTCTTCGGGTATGGTGATCTGATGTGTGACAATCGTTGCTAGATTATATTTTGATAATGACATGGTAACAGTCCATTAAGTCATTGATTGTTGGAATTAGCCGTTTTAATAGATATAGTCTACCTAATTTAGATCCACGCCACAAACGCGATCAGTTGTTAGAGATGTTGGTTGATAGGGCTCAGAATCTGGTGCATTTGTACCGATACACTCACTATTTATTTTCTTCTGAATTGTCATTCTCAGAAGTTATCCATATGCACCTTTTACTTCTGTCTTCTCAAGCTATACTATTGTAGCGTGGTGTCGAGTTGAGCTTGACTATGAACACCGCTACAAGACTACGTGCAAATAGACCAATAAGATTCCGGTAGCCCAAAAATCAGAAGGCAGATGATGGCTGTAGTCGAGATGTATTTGTTGGCGATCTCGCGGTATCGAAAGAATACCGAGATCGTGCCAAAGGAGTACAAGTGTGGTTACTGAGCGTAACCGGATTCGTACAAGTTCAAAGTCAACGGGAGAGTAAGTATATTGGCTGTCATTAGCACAGTTAAACAAACGAGCACAATAAAACAATCACTGGTACAATTGGTTATAATAATAATTGTTTTCATTGAACCATTCGCGTTCTGTTGATAAAAGTAGGTCACTACAGGAGCCTCCCGCTAGAAAGGGTTTACACTTTCGATAGTTAGTGGTTTGATTCGTGGGACTGATCGGCAGAAGTGCGGTTGTAGGACGAAGGAAATTGGCGGAACAGGAAGTGATCGTTGATCCTCGAGTTGCCAACGAAGGTCTTTTGCGCAGAACGGTACCAGAAGTGTGCTGTATTTGTTGGTCGAATTAGCATACCACACCAGAGTGGTTTGTATCCAGAATCTGATGATTGCGTTCGTAGGGATGTGAACCAGGAAACGCTGCAGACGTAGGACGAAACCACGTTGAGCCAAGAAACCGGACGCGACCATAACGACCAAGCGTATGCCAGGCGAATTCGAGACCAGATAATCGACTGAGTGTGTTGACTAGAGCATGGGTGGCCAAACCAGCTTTTGCCAAAGTTGACTGAAGTCGACGTTACCGAACGGGCGATGGTCGGAGGCGTGGGCTCAGGATACAAAAAAAAATCAAAAAAAAGAAAAGTGTAGCATGCGTGTAGTATAGGAATAATCCTACACCGTATCTGTTATTGACTGTGCGTTTAGTCGCGAAAGCGTACGGGTAATCGTACTCGGCGACCGGAACGTGAGATGGTGGTCTCGTTCGTACTTCGTGAGCCTGCGATCTCATCCGAGGTCATAGGCGGCGTGGTCTGCTGATCTGGACGTGAGACGGAAGTCTCGTCCGTAGATGGTGCAGATGACGCGTGCTGTTGACCGGGACGTGAGAACGAGGTCTCTGATGTATCTAGCGTGGGATCCGAGGTAGACGTAGAGATCCCGCTAGAAAGTTTGATAGGTCTAGCATTGAGTCTCAAGTTATCGGGTAGGGCACTGTCATCGACGTGTGCTGGTTTGAGACGATCAATGCTGACGATCTCGACGCGGCCGTGTCGATCAACCTTGAAGGTCTTTTCGTGACGAGAGATCACGTGAAAAGGGCCTTCGTAAGGCTGTTGTAGAGGTTTGCGTACCGAATCTACTCGTATGAAAACATGTGAACAGGTAGATAACTCTCGAGGGAGAGCGACCTGTCGATGTTGTATTCGAGTTGACACCGGAGACAGCGTTCGCATAAATGCAGACAGTCGATGGACGTAGTCTGATTTACCGAAATCATTACTGCTCCGTGGTGTGAAGAATTCCCCAGGCAGACGCAATGTCGTGCCGTATACAAGTTCAGCGGCGGAACATTGGATATCTGCCTTTAAACTCGTTCTGATGCCTAAGAGAACGAGCGGTAAGGTTTCGTACCAATTGTCGTTTTCGTGTACTTGAAGAGCACTTTTAAGTTGGCGATGAAACCGTTCGACTAAACCATTCGATGCTGGATGGTAGGCGGTAGTGCGTATGCGTTCCGTACCAAGCAGCCGGGTCAGTGAGGAGAATAATGCGGACTTGAATTGTTGTCCTCGGTCAGTCGTGACAGTCGAGGGACAACCGTACAATGCTATCCATCGTTCTACGAAGCGGTGAGCAACTGTCTCCGCCGTGATAGACGTGATGGGAATAGCTTCGGGCCATCTTGTAAAACGGTCAATGCACGTGAGTATGTGATCATACCCATGCGATGGTGGCAATGGTCCTACAATGTGTATATGAACGTGATCAAAGCGAGCATCAGGCGTAGCGAACGTGCCAATGGGGGCAGCTACGTGCCTGTGCACTTTTGATCGTTGACACTGTAAGCATTGCTTTACCCACATACGAACATCTTTATTCATGGACGGCCAGACGTCTCGTGCAGCGAAGAGACGTAATGAAGCTGCGATACCTGGATGAGACAATCCATGAAGGGCATCGAAGACGAGACGGCGATATGCAGAGGGTACGATGGGTCGAGGAAGACCGGTAGAAATATCACATAGGATAGTACCTGAGCTAGTAGCTAGGGGTACTTCCTGACACTGAAGGGACGAAGATTGGGGTGCTTCTGTACAGACTGGATCGTTTGCTTGCGCGGCCGCCATAGCAGGAAGATCGAGCACCGGTAAAGTAACTGCATTCGTCTGGATACGTGAAATAGCATCGGCAACATAGTTCGACTCGCCTTTAATGTGACAAAGGTCTGTCGTGAACTGGGAGATATAGTCCAAATGTCTGCACTCTCGTGGTGAGTAGCGGTCAGACTTGGTATGCAGGGCATACGTTAAGGGCTTATGGTCGGTGAATAAAATGAATTGGCGTCCTTCTACTGCGTGCCGGAAATGTTTGATGGCGCAGTAGGCTGCAAGCAGTTCGCGACCATAAGCGCTATATCTCGTCTCCGTGGGAGTAAGGCGTCGTGAGAAAAATTCAAGGGGTTGCCAACTACCGGAGATATTCTGTTGCATAACGGCTCCTATAGCGAAATCTGATGCATCAACCGCTATACTAAGCGTGGCTGATGGGTCAGGATGAGCGAGGAGTGTAACTTCAGCGAGAGCCGTTTTGATCTCTGAGAATGCAGTACGTGCGGTATCGTTCAATTCTAATTTGCGTGGGTTACCGCGTAGTAAATCGGTTAGTGGTCGTAACCGTTCTGCCGCGTGAGGGATGAAACGTCGGTAGAAGTTAACCAAACCGAGAAAAGCCTTCAGTTCCTTGATTGAGGACGGCACGTTGTACTCCTTGATTGCTCGAATTTTGTCCTCGCAAGGCAGAATACCCTCTTGTCTGATGAAGTGACCCAGAAATATTATTTCTGATTTACCCAACTCACATTTCTCTGGGTTGACTATTATTCCATTATCCGAAAGACGTTGGAATAATAGCGTAAGATGTTGATAATGTTCATCTACATTTGATGATGCGATCAGCAGGTCATCAATATAGACGTGAACAAAATACAAGTCTCGTACTATGCTATCGATAAACCTTTGGAAAGTTTGAGCAGCATTCCGTAATCCAAATGGCATTCGTAGGAACTCAAACAGACCGAACGGAGTCGTGATAGCAGTTTTTTCGATGCCTTCAAGAGCGACTGGGATCTGGTGATATGCTCGTACCAGATCGATTTTAGAAAAGATAGTCGTGCCCTTGAGCGATGCCGTGATGTCGTGTATGTGGGTGATGGGGTAACTATCAAAGCGCGTAACTACGTTTAATGCTCGGTAGTCGCCGCATGGTCTCCAACTAACCCCATCCTTTTTGCGCACCATGTGTAAAGGAGAGGCCCAAGGACTGTGAGAAGGACGAATAATACCAGCAGATAGTAAATTGTCAAACTCACGTTTAGCGAAAGCTAATTTGTCCGGTGCCAGTCGGCGTGGTCTTGCCGTGACTGGTGGTCCGCGGGTGACTATGTGGTGTACCACACGATTGGTCACCGATGAAATCTCCTCGAGTGGTTTAGTTATTCTGGGGAATTTCTCGAATAAGGCGTGGAATTTATCGTCACGCGAATAAAAAGTGCCGAGGATTCGGTACGCGTACATCGGAGTCTATTATATTAATACTATTCTTATCGTTATCCGTCATGTCAAATATATTATATATTAAAAATTAATATGAAAATATATGACAGACGTGGATAGATAAAACAATAGACTCACCGAATTGCCTTCTTTGAAGATTTGACCGAGGTTGAGGCGTGTTCCAAGATTTGGCTCACCAATTGTAGCGTGGTGTCGAGTTGAGCTTGACTATGAACACCGCTACAAGACTACGTGCCAATAGACCAATAAGATTCCGGTAGGCCAAAAATCAGAAGGCAGATGATGGCTGTAGTCGAGATGTATTTGTTGGCGATCTCGCGGTATCGAAAGAATACCGAGATCGTGCCAAAGGAGTACAAGTGTGGTTACTGAGCGTAACCGGATTCGTACAAGTTCAAAGTCAACGGGAGAGTAAGTATATTGGCTGTCATTAGCACAGTTAAACAAACGAGCACAATAAAACAATCACTGGTACAATTGGTTATAATAACAATTGTTTTCATTGAACCAATCGCGTTCTGTTGATAAAAGTAGGTCACTACACTATCATTATTTAGTCTTCCTCGTTATCATTGCTACTAAATTATTTTGACTCCTTCGTTATTCATTGCATTAATTTAATCTCATCGTGCTTATATGGTATGTTAACTTTACTTGATCTAGCGTAGATTTGTGATAGACTTACATTGATAGACACTAAATGACAATAGATTTGAAATGGTAAATCTGTTAAACTCATGGTTATAACTCTTCCTCAACTCAAATGTGTTACGCATTCACAATTACCGCCTACTATTTCTCACGTTATACTGACTATTGTAAGGGTGTGTTAATAAAAAGGATAAAAATGTCTGAATCACGACGTTTCACCTGTTTGTTTTGTCAATGAGAGTACTTTACACTCACGATTTGTTTTAGTTACACATTATAGAGTGTAGTGTTAACTCAACTCTACTACTTCTGTTACTAGTCTGATTTATAAAGTGCTCTGATGAGTACAATATTAACAGGGAAGTCCTGAGTTCGATTGTGTGTAAAATCATAAACGCGTTCTGTTGAGCAGTTGTAATGCAACCTTCAAATGTCAATCCATACATATTGGTTGTTTGGAGCGGAAGAACATCAACACTGGGATGCAGGTACATCCAACTAATGAGTTCCAAGCAGGATGAAGTGTACATCCTGGATCCCACTACTAGCCACCATCCATATCTGATTGAGTAACTCTTGAATGTTTAGATCGTTTACTAATGACATTCCCATATGTAATAATATTCAATTTGCCTTCAAAAATTGAACTACTTACTTTTTTGCTAAAGAGTTGGAGGTGTTCGATAGGGAACTCTGTTAGACTTAGGTTTCGTGATAATTTAGACTTTTAAGCCTAAGTAATTCAAATGATAACGTCTCCGATTATAAAACTAAATCCATGATGAGACAGTTCCCCAGAGTTTGCAGGCAGGCTGTACTAAGAAACTACTTACCAGCTCGAAACTTAGATCCACGGTATCCTACTGATTAATTTCAACTACCTAATTGCTCCGCTTAGTGAATGTAATATTAAGCAATTTAAACTATTAACCAGTACACTGCAACTAAAGTGGTTGAACTTAATCAAGGTTAAAAAGGACTAGACAAACATGAAATTCATTTGGTATTGTTTACTTGAATTTTCCCATTGATGTTTAGGACTGCAATTGATCAGTCTCTTATTAGCATATATGCATATTGTGTATTGCTTCTACTGAGGAGTCCCGTAATAAGACGAAACAGCCGTCCAATGCTTTCAGGTTTTTAATGGTGGTCTAACATCAATCGGTTCATAATCTCAATCAAAAACTTAATAATCTCCCTAACCCTATACTGATCTTTACATTCACTTACGTCACTTGTTCCAGACTATATCTTACCTCAATGTTAACTTCCAATATATATCAATGATTGTAAGCAGATGATGAATGAATTCATATTATTCTGTATCTATGTTCGTTCAATGTGTATTTTTTTTCTATTATATATGTAATTTCAATAGTTGAAATCATAAGTCAATTGAAGTTGGACCACCATGGCAAACCTGGAAGCATTGGATGGCTGTTTTGATTCTAATGTGAAACTTATAATCCTAACTATTAAAATTACTATAATATCCATAAAACCCCTCTCTGACATTATATATGTGTTTGTTTTTACCTTATAATTAGATGGTAAAGTTTCACAAGGTGATGTATTATTAATCTCTCCTGGTGGTGTTAGAGAAGCTTTATTCTCTGATGAATTTTATACAGTTATGTGGGAGAATCGTCGAGGTTTTGCACGTATTTCTTTATTATCTGGACAAGTAAGTCATTTTTCTAAAATAAGAAATTCTTTAATGATTTAAGCAATAGTTAAGTTCAATGGTTAAGATTATACTCACTAGTGACTGGCTTCAAAAGGTATAACCTGGAGTTCTAGTGAGAAGTAGTGACCAGTGGAGTTCAACCAGGTCTGTTGTGAGATAGTAACTGACTGAAGACAATGGTGGATGTGTCACTCAATTTCGTGGATTAGTTGAAGTTGAACATTAACACTGTTTGGATGCCGACATGCTCAGTGGTCTAGTGGTTAAGTACTTGCGCGCGAAAGCGGTAGGTCTTGGGTTCGAGTCTCGCAGGGGGAGAGGCCGTGGATGGGACGGCCTTCCAGTGCTTCCAAGTTTTCCATGGTGGTCTAGCTTCAACTGACTCATGATCTTAACCATTTAAATTACAATAATCAAGTGTTAGTTGTGTAGAAGTTATTAAGTATAGATCGTAGATTAAAAGTGACTCCTGTAAATGCATTAAATTAAACACTATATGTATTTAGTAAAGTTAAATCATAGTCTGCAATGGAATCCAAGATGCTTATTTCATCCTGTTTAGGACTTATCGGTTAGATGTACCTTCATTCTTGAGATCATGTTTGAACCCAGTAACTGTTACTGGAAACGTCAACACGTTATTCATTGATAAGTTTCAAATAGGATAGAGCACAAGTCCCGGATTCCATTTCTAGCTCCAACTTAACTATTACTAAAAATTAATGACTATGACTGACGATCCACCCCAAATGCCTTGATACGGTCGAGGGTGGTGAGGGTCAACTCTGCCTCTCGACAAGTTCTCACATGACTACGTGTATACAGCCTCTGACACGGGAAGTTCTACTCACTACCTTCTCGCGGTGGCGGTGTTGTTTATGAAATCGAGAAGACGATAAGCGAATGTCCGACGCTTTTACCGGGTCGTTGCATATGAAGGATTCACCTAATGGAGTTGGGAAACCCTGATTCTAAAACAGTGGTGCACATGGACTCCTGGATCCTGATGGAACAACAAGTGGCATATGAAACTATTGTTGGTCACCAGCTACCATGGGACTTTAACTCCTTACGTTACTCCACTGTCTTATGGCTCTCTAAGAAAACCAACTGTTGCGGCTTGAACACCCGAGCAGTATTCCAACTCTCTTACAAATCGAATAATTTATGTGATGCATATATTTGTATATAAATGTAAATAAACTCTTCTAAATAAAAGTTGATATGCGGTTCGTGACAGTAAAATGTGATTAACCATTTGATTGTGAACTAACTACTGTGAATTCACTGGTTGTAAACTGATTTGTATTTGTTTTGAATAACATTTTGTTTAGTTTCTATTTTTTCTTCTTTATATTTGATCGTTAACTATGTATCTGATAAAAAATGATCTAATTTCCTTACAACGTTTTGATTGTGTATCATCCAGTCTTGTAGATTCACTCAATCTCGAGATCACCATTTGAAACCTGGGAGCACCGGACGATCGTTTTGCCTTAGTATGGGACTCATCAACAGTGTGCATCCACATTCCCGCTTGCGGTATTCCAACTCAGGGCCTTCGTTCTCGCGCGCAAACTCTTAACGTCTAGACGACTGAGCCGGCATCCAACGGTATTAATGTCTAACCTCAACCAATCCACGAAATTGCTCGATCATCTTTCATTGTACTGAGGCAGATACCTATCTTTATCTGACATGGATTAACTCCACTTGTCACGAACAAAGGCCCTGGGTTCCAATCGCGCGAGCGGAGTCGTGGATGCGCACTGCTGGGGAGTCCCACAATAAGACGAAACGGACATCCAGCGCTTTCAGATTTTCAATGATGTTCTAACATCAATCAGTTCATGATCTCAATCAAGAAATATATTGTCAGAATATTGTCTTAAATGTATCATATTCTGATCCAGATATAAGTTGTTCTAATGATTCATATATTTCTAATGAAATCCTTTATAAAGAATTGCTCTAAATGAGCTGAGATCTGATTATAATTGTGGCTGTGAATTAGTTCTTATTATTTTGTCTATATATATCTGCATACCATTTGCTTCTCATATGTCTGATTTCATATATATTCAAAGTTCATCATAGTAAGTAATTGTTCCTTGTAATTTGAATATAAATATCTTCAAATTATTGTCTAAGACACTATCAAATTAAAATGTGATATCATAAAGTCCATGAAGTTATTTACTGTTGGACTGAACGATGTAAATGGATGAAGACTACTTGGTTGATTATCGTAACGAATGATTAGAGACTTTTGGTGACATTATGGTGTGTGCTACTGATATCGATAGATATAAGTGGTATGTGTATCACTAGTCGAAAGTATTTATTTATTTGAACACATAGATATTGGTACAAGAAGGCACCAAATATATATGCACCACACAAAATTTCATTTTATTTGTGTGTGGGTTGTGATACTGTCTGGGTGCCCAGACCGAAGCAGGTGGTTTTCTTAGGGAGCCACAACCCGAGCCTTTGACCTAAAGGTCTAGTCCACAAGGCAGTGAAGCATTGTAAGGAGATGCAGTCCCATGGTAGCCAGTGACCAAGAAATTGGTTCATACGCCATTTGTTCCTTCAGGATACTGGAGCCAGCCCATGTGCACCATTGGTTTGGGATCCGGTGAAAGCACCGGACATTCGCTTTTCGTCCTCTCATTTTCGTAAACAACACCCGTGGTGCGAGAAGGCAGTGAGTAGGACTTCCCTGGTAGAGGCTGTATACGCGTGGCCATGTAAGAGCATTTCGAGAGGGAGGGCGGGCTCGATCCACTCTCGGCCGTACCAGGGCATTTGGGGGCACTAGTTGAGAGTGGAATGTCTGGCAACAGAAGACCGAAGAAAAGAGAACGAGAACAAAGAATGATTGGTATAGAAACGGAAGAACAATGAAGTCTGAGACGATTGACTAATATTTTGCCACTGAAATATACGTACTGTATGGTTCTCACACTTTAATAATACTTTCTTTAATTGTATATTTAAATACATTCGATTGCTCCTATTTGTGTTCTCGTTCACTACAACATGATTTGAAATTATTCGAAGTAGCTCAGTTGAACTTCCTCTTCATCTTCTCTTCTAGTTCTTAGTTTTATTTTTAATTCACAAATTTATATTTACTTCTTCAATTACATTTTCCATGCCTAATATTTTCTACTACTACTGATATTGTTAATACTACTTATACTCTTTTGGCATCTCTCTGTATTAATGTGATATGGCAACTTGAAGCGATGCAAACATGTCCCTCGTTTCATGTTAAGTATGATTGATAGTTTGTGTATAGTGGAACAATGAATTGTGTAATGGTGAGTTTTGATTTATTTATGTTATTCCAATGAATAGAGATTTAAATTCCTGACATTTCGTAACTGATCAGTATGGGGTTGTGTAGATTGTTAAATTTCATTGAAATCATGATCTTATCAATGTTAGACTACCATTGAAAACCTGGAAGCACTGAAAACCATTTTGTATTAGTATGGGATTTCTTATCAACACACACCGACGACCCTGAATGTGGAAATCGAACCTGGAACCCTTAGACCACTGAGCTGGACTCTAATAATGTACGAGTGTAATTCATGGAAGGCATTAGAAGATGATGGAGCATTATCATGGATTGCCTCAAAGTTAGATCACAACTCCATACTGATATTATCACGTGCTCACTAGTGACTAGTTTCGAGAGAAAATTTCCGGAGTTCTAGTAAAAAGTTATGACCTATGTAGCTAAATTATATTGAGTATGAGGCAGCTATTTACCAAAAATGAAAAATAGTCGCACAATATCGTGGATTGAGTGAACTTAGTCACTAATACCATTGTATGCTGGGTCAACGATTTAGTTGTTAAGCATTCGTATGGGAATGAGTTTCGTAGCATCGTTTTTTTAATCACTTCAAAGTAAATAAATTAAATTAACACGTTTAAATAATATAAAGGAACATGGTGGAATACTCAGTTCGATCGAAATACATCTCATTATGTCAGTATCATGTGAATTGTTTCGATCAAGATGATTCCATGTGAAACAGTATTGTATGTGTTCGTTTGTATAATGGTAAGCATAAATAGTGTGCAGTTTGTAATATGAAGGAGTAGAGTTGAAATTCGAATGTGTGTGTGGGTGTGTGCACGTGTGTTAGCTTGTGGGAACTGTATCTTTATACATTTGTATTCCAATTGATAGATATCTAGAATTTATTAATCACTGATGAGAGAATTCGAATACACGATCTAGAAGACGTTCATTAAGTATTAGTTCAATTATGAAATCTTTCAAGTTATGCTTGAATCTAACACTTCACTTTCAAAGAAATTTTATATAAACAAACGAATGGAGTAGCAATGAGATCTCTAGTATATTCGATAGTTACGAATTTACTTATGTCCCATATTTGTTACATTTATTTTCACCAATATCATCAGACCAGTCATCTGGCTTTATTTATTTGAACACATAAATATTGATACAAACGGGCACAGAATAGATATACGCCACACAAGTCACTTGATTTGTGTGTGTGTGTTGTGATACAACCCGGACGACCAGACTGAAACAGGTGGTTTTCTCAGGAGTCCACACCTGGAGCCTTCGACCTAAAGTTCTAATCCAAAAAGCAGTGGAGCAACATCAGGAGATGCAGTCTCATCGTTGTCGGTGACCAACGATTGGTTCATACGTCATTTGTCCCTTCAGGATCCTGGAATTGGTTTGGAATGAGGGTTTTCCAACTCCCCTAGATGGATCCTTTAACATCCACTAACCCGGTTAAAGCGTTGGACATTCGCTTTTCATCGTCTCAATTTCATAAATAACACTCCGGTCGTCAGAAGATAGTGAGTAGGTCTTCCGAGTCAGTGGCTTATATGATGCAAACGGATGAATAACATCTAAGTATATGTATTATATATATATATACTATGTAACTTCTACTTAATACCTTCTTTACAACAAGACGTCAATACAACATCCGAGCTATCTGGAATCTTTCAACTTATCTTCTTTCTGTAAAGTTTTCCTCTTTAAATTTAGTTGGAGTGAGAGTATATAAAGATATATACGCTGGCTACAAGTGGAAATAAGAAGTTGATTGATGAAGCCATAAATCTTTATTACCTGAACTTTTTTGTATAAGTATTACTCGAACTGGGGGTCAGTCAGCTACACCGTAGGACCAGGCACATACGGTCTAAGTTTTCACACCGCATTAGCACAACAAGATGAACACCGGATTCATAGAAGTAGTTAATTCAGTGGTGGTAATATGTAGAAGAAAGATTGCATATAAGGAATAAAGAATTAGTTCGTAGAAAGAAAGATACGCAGCGATTTTGATCTCTTAGTTTAAAAAAATATAGAGAGTGTATACACCTACACCATTGTGATCGATTCTGAGCCATGTCACTCTGAATCTCCAACGATTGGTTACGATAGTCACGCGGACCATAACCAGGCAATCTGCATCTACTGACATGGCTCAGACCAGAAGTTAGTGAGTTTAAGCACTGATGCCACGTTTTAGTTTGATCGCCGTTGTATGTATTATATAGATTTACATGTATCGTAGGCAATATTTACTAAGAACACATAACTATAATGTATTAGAAGGGGTTTTATGGAGATTGAAGCTAAGATCATCATGAAAAACCTGGAAGCACTATACGGCCATTTCGTCGTCCTATTATGGGACTATAATCTTCATTCATCTCTTTTTATTGTTTTTCTCCTCTTTATTTTTCAGCCTATTTATCCAATGTTTACAGAAAATATTCGTGAAACTATAAGAATTGTACAATTTGGTAAAGGTAACCTAAAAAAAAATTATTCGGATTATTCTTATCCATATTAGGTTGGTGGCGTAGTTTATATGAACGAACACGATTACCGTTAGCTATATTTTATGGTTATTTTCCTGTTAAGCTTAGGTAAGTTGATTTGTATGTAATAATTATATGCTTATCATCAATAAGTAATTCCCTGTGGTAATTCCCGACAATTTAGTATGAGAAGCTATAAACAGTCAGTAAGGACAAAAGCTTGAAAAATGAGGTTTTAGAATGATTTTATAGAAAAAAAATAGACAAGGATTTCTCTTGTCAGTGCAGTGTTTCATGAAAATGTACAGTTTACGACTAGAAACTTACGCCTGTTATTCCTCGTATAGGCCGCCCACCAGCACTCTCCATCCAACCCTGTCCTGGGCAATGCTTTCCAGTTGTTATTCATCCTTTTCATATCTGTTTCTATTTCCCCACGTAATGTTTTTCGGCCTTCCACTTTTTCCACTTCTATTCAGGATTCCAAAATAGGGCTTGTCTCATGATGCAGTTTGATGATTTGCGCATTGTATGTCCTATGCATTTCCATCATCTTTTCCTAATTTCCTCTTTAGCTGGAAGCTGGTTTGCCCCTCCCCCACAGAATGGTATTGCTGATGGTATCTGGCCTGTAGCTCTTCTAGAGTTACTGTTGGTCCCAAACCCGGGTAAAGGAGGAGGGTTGGGCATGGGTTCGGCAACCCCAACCCGTAGAATAAAATCTTTTTTAAAAAACGCTAGCAACTAGAAAACAAACATCTAAATGCAATGATAAAGGTTGAAATGACTGACCATAGCATACCTTTGAAGCTTCAGTCCTGACTCTAATGAAATTACAAAGTAAATAATGTCGATAATATTCGGCGCAGAAGTGACTAACATCTCTGGGATCTATTTTACACATTTCAAACTGACATTCAACCCTGTATGTCCTACTGGTTATCAAGTTATTTATTGATGGAATTTCATAGTTGAGGTCCTCTGGCGACTCCCCCTTGTTGTGTCGATATGTGTAGGTTCTGACATCCTGGGTGTCGATGTTGATTTATTTACTGAATCCTACGTTGTGGATAGGTAGAATTATATATAGTTTCATATACAAGACTATTACAAAAATCCTTCATAAAGTCTTATACACTAAATAATTGGTATTGAATGATGTTATATCATGATTCAATAAAAATAATAACCACTTGATTACGATATAGTACTCTAAAAAAATGGACCGTTTACTGCATGCCTTGAAGATCTCACATTGAATTCGTGATTGTTTCATGGATAGTTGGCTTAAAAGTCCGATAATAAGGCCAAACAACTATTCACTGCTCCCTTCGTATTCAATAATATTCTTAACTGATTTCATTCTTTGGCAATGCCTATGTATAAATCATTTAATTGATTTTCTTCTTGGTTTTATGCTTCGTACATTTCCATAATCGGTCAAGTTTTTAACTTTTGTATGATAAGTAACATGTGCTCACTACTGACTAGCTTCATGAGGGAATTCTTTGAGTTCTAGTGAAAAGCCATGAACAGTGGAGCTAAACCATTTCGGGTAGAGACAGGTATCTACCTTACTACAATGGAAAATGGTCGTTCAATTTCATGAATTGGTTGAGGTTAAACATTAACGCCATTGGATGTTAGCTCAGTGGTTTAAGGGTTAAGCGTTCGCGCGCAAGACTGAAGACCCTGTGTTGGAATCCTGCGAGCGGGATCGTTTATGCGCACTACTGGGGAGTCCCATAATAAGACGAAACGGTCGTCCAATGCTTCTAGGTTTTCAATGGTGGTCTAACATTAATCAGTTGATGATTTCAATCAAACAATTTCGTATGATTGTTTATACTTCTCATATAGTACAATATTGTTTTTTTAATTTCTAGAACTTATATTGGTGATCCAATTTATCCATTGCCAAATGAAACATCTGAGGAATTAGCTAGTCGAGTAAGTATTCATTATTACTAATTTATAAACATTAACTTCAAATTTTATTATAAAACGAATATTTATTTTAACACATAGATATTGGTACAAGGAGGCACCAAATACATATGCGCCACACAAATTTTCATTTTATTTGTGTGTAGGCTGTGATACTGCTCGGGTACCCAAACCGAAGCAGGTGGTTTGCTTAGGGGACCACACTCCAAACCTTTGACCTAAAGATCTGATCCACAAGGCAGTGGAGCATTGTAAGGAGATGCAGTTCCATGGTAGCCGGTGACCAACGATTGGTTCATACGCCATTTGTTCCTTCAGGATACTGGAACCAGCCCATGTGCACCATTGGTTTGGGATCGGGTTAAAGCGCCGAACATTCGCGAAACGATATAATAAATCTTGATCAGCTTACAGATAAATGATGATTGTATATTCGAATGTCAATAATATCCATGGGAAAGCTTATCAGTTATACACAATGAGAAACTTGGTACATTCGTTCAAACGTTCAAGTTGTTACATCCATATCATCATAGAGTGATCCTAGGGTTGTCATAAAAGATTAACCATAGAAGTTATGACTCGAAAAATAAAGAATTGGCCGGGTCATAAAATGTATAAGACACTTGTGAAATTCATGATCGAAAGAAAGATAAGGTTTCAGTTAATTCTGTGACATGTCACCAAATATCTCTAAACATTAGTTACTTCATCGATTGATCCTGAGTCTTGATTTGGTAGCTTGCGGCTTCCTTCCAACCTAGCCATCATTGTGAGTTAAGATAAGCAGTAGTTGAGCATATGTGATACATGTTCTAGCCATCCTAATCAATGAATACTCACTACTCGACCAACCGATTTAATATCATTACCTTAGTACTATGTGTTTAATCTTACGGTCACTCACTTGGGGGAAGTGACTTACTCACTTGATGGTTGCAACAAACGCTAGCAGAGCTTTGAAGGCACCTATGATCGAATACTAGTAAACTACGAAAATCTATTTTTAACGGACATGTTACCGCCATAAACTAGAACAAAGCAATCTACTGGGTAGTGCACTATTCTTTTGACTGGTAGATGGATGTCTCACCTGCACCACAGACGAGATTGAGATCTCGTCAAACACCTACCCATCAGGGTTGATTGGATTTCCAAGATAAGTGACGTGCTTGACTTCTTCATTCCCTGTAATCAGTTTTGAGGCAACAATTGACATTTAGAGTGAGTGTTAGTATTTTGAGAATGTATCTTTTCTTGTAAACTAGGATGGTCAACGTCCTTGCCTAATTTCCTCTTCTACTGGAAGTTGGTTTGTTCTCTCCCACAATAGGCTGTTGCCGATGGTGTCCAGCCAACATGTCTGGTGTGTCCTGCGTAGACAATTGTTTAGAAACACTTGTACTTTTTAGATGATGGTTGTAGTAGTCCTCCAAGTTCCAGCTCCGTACAGTAGAACTAACTGACCTGACTTTCGTATTGAAGATTTTGACTTTGACATTTGTTGACAGTTGCTTAGAGTTGTTAAATTGTAGGAATGTGGCCATTACTTTGCCAATCCTTGTCTTTATATCTGCATTAGATCGTCCTTGTTCATCGATGATACTGTCTAGGTACGTGAAAGTGTTCACCTCTTCCAGAGTTTCTCCACCAAATGTGATTGGGCTAGTGTTCTCCGTATTGCATTTCAGGATGTTGCTTTTCCCTTTTTGTATGTTGAGAGCTACTGATGCATAGGCTGTTGTTATACTCGCTATTTTCACCTGCAATTGCTGACGTGCATGGGATAAGAGAGGCAGATCATTTGCAAAGTCCAAACCATCTAGTTGCATCCAAGCTAGCCATTGTATTCCGTGCTTCCCCTAAGATGTCAAGGTGTTCATAATCCAGTCAATCACCAGAAGAAAGAGAAAGGGAGAATAAGCAACCTTGACCGACACCGGTCGTCACTTGGAATACATCTTTCAGTTGTCCTCCATGCACGATCTCTTCAGGTATACCATAGTGTCGAAGAAGTTTCCATAAGGCTCTCCTATCTACACTATCGAATGCTTTCTCATGGTTAAGGAAGTTGATGTATAGTGACGAGCTCCATCCAACTGATTGTTCAACAATGATCCGTAATTTTACGATTTGATCTGTGTACAACCGGTCCTCATAGAATTCGGTCTGTTTCACAACACTCGGTTGAAAACTTCTCCTGATACTGACAGTAGTAAGATTCCTCTGTAGTTTGCACATTTGGTCAGGTCTTCTTTCTTTAGTATCTTGATGAGATATCCTCCTTTTCAGTCTGTCGGCACTTGTTCCCCCCCCTTCGAAATCTTTCTGAATAGAACATGCAACATGTTTACATTCACTTTTATATTTGACTTCAGGATTTCATCTGATAGTTTGTCCTGGATAATGGACACAAATTTCTAAATTCTTTTTTTTTTTTTTCATTCTTCTCTCTTGTTTTCTTCTTAAATTAGGTTCGTATATCTATTGAAGAACTTATCAATAGGCATCAATTAATACCGGCAAATCTTTTTTGTGCTATTATGCAACGATTCCCTATATTCGATCGTTGGTTAACAAAATATAAACTTAAACGATTTCATCATTATCATCAACATCAAAGACGTACATGAATATCAGTTCAACAGTTTGTCTGACAAATTTTTCTTTGTTCTAACGTTGATTTCAAACAAAATTGATTCAATGTACAAAAAAAAAAATTTTTTTTCTATATTCAGGTAAATAAATTTTTTGTTGTTGTTGTATTTACATGAATAGAATTGAACCGATTTTTTAGTATCTAAAGATCGATAATGGCTAACAGTGGAATCCAGGATGCGCGTTTAGGTTCTATTTCGGACTTGTCAACTGAATATACCTGCATCTCAGAGTTGATGTGTACTTTCGGACTCGAACTCAGTACTGTTCGTTTCAAATGCTATCGCGTTATATACTTAGCTACTACGTTGATGATAATTATTAATGATCGATTTCCGGAATATGTTGAGTCACATTGGCGGAGATGAAGTTACTTGTAATTGTTTTCTTAGAACTAGAACCCCAGCATAACTTTGTTTTTTTTTTAAATCCAATTTAAGTCGATACGATATATTGGCCATCGGAATAGGATGGATGAAGATTAGGGACGTCACGATATCAGTTCATAAAGTTATTGACTGTCAAAATAAATCTATGACTAAGATGGATGGTGGCTAACAATGGGATCCAGGATGTGCTTTCCATCCTATTTGGGACTCGTTATCTAGAGTTGATGTTCACTACGAAACTCGAACCCAGTACCGTTCGCTTCAAATGCCATCGCGTTATCCACTTAGCTACAAAGTCCTGCTAGCCACTAGATTCCACTGATAGCCATCATCCATCTTTGCTTATAATGCTTTTGAATTAAGGCAATATCGAGGCAATCCGCACAAGATGCACATATGCCAATAAGAGACTGGTCAATTGAAGTCCTAAATATCAATGGGAAGATTCAAGTAAAACAATATCCAGAGAATTGAATCTATGACTGTGAAAAGTTTAAACATAATTGGAATGAGACCATAAATTAGACATGGCATCAATTTCTGAATGAAGTTGATCTGAACCATGTTTTTTTATACAGACTTTCTAGTTGTAATAACCGCAAACAATGATTGTAAACGTAAAATGTGACGATTTCGAATAGGTTTCAATGGAGCACATACGTTCACTCAGTATTTCTCTCCAAATTTTGAGTTTTTAATCCCACAAACTCGGCCCCCAAATGCCCTGATATGGCCGAGAGTGGGGAGAGTCCGCTCTCCCTCTCCAAATGCTCTCACATGGCCACGCGTATATAGCCACTGCCACGGAAGTCCTACTCACTGCCTTCTCGCACCACGGGTGTTGTTTACGAAAATGAGAGGACAAAAAGCGAATGTCCGGCGCTTTAACCGGATTCCAAACCAATGGTGCACATGGGCTGGTTCCAGGATCCTGTAGGAACAAATGGCGTATGAACCAATTTCTTGGTCACCGGCTACCATGGGACTGCATCTCCTCACGATGCTCCACTGCCTTGTGGATCAGACTTCAGGTCAAAGGTTTGGAGTGTGGTCCCCTAAGCAAACCACCTGCTTCGGTTTGGGCACCCGAGCAGTATCACAGCCCACACACAAATAAAATGAAAATTTGTGTGGCGCATATGTATTTGGTGCCTCCTTGTACCAATATCTATGTGTTCAAATAAATAAATAATAAAACAAACTTATTCATTCTCCGAAAATCATAATTTCTGTGTCTAATCTTTATTACTCGAGCCGATATTACTAGTTTGAGTATTCATTTTACTAATCCATTCTCACTGTCTTAATATGAAATGTAGTAACCTGGGCTGATTTGCATATGTATCAGCCTCGGTCTGTTTTAACTATACAAGCCCATTACTGATCAACTACATATTAAGAAATGAACTAATTTTTGGTACTTCTGGGGTGTGTTTTTTCTAATCTAATCCAATATAACTCATTTATCAAGTACTTAAATTCACCCTTTATCTGTTAGAACTAGAAATACAACTAATTTGGTGACCAAACCGATATTACTGGAGTGCAATTTGAAACGAATACTCGATTGATTAGACAGTGAGTACTTTAACTGGTCAATCATTGAGTACACATTGAACTACTATTGAGTAGTAACTAATACAACCTAGCCAGAAATGCATGTAAAAAACATACATGGCTACTAATAACAAACTTTGTTAGGTTGCACTTCACTTCTTAGTTTAGACTTATTTACTTTCGTAGATTCAGACCTATGGTTGAAGCCTTTCTAATTCTATTTAAACTAGGCTGACAATTGGTTTTTCCTTCAAATATGGAAGTCGTTCTACTTTAATTTGTAAGTATCTTCGAGTTATTTTGTTGCTGGTATTCTTGACAGAATTTTGGTCAGTCTTAGCTAGCATATGTACAACCTGTAGAGATTGCTTCGATATGGCCATTATGTCACAAGTTTTAGAGAAGAGTACCTGGGAAGCAAAGTCGATAAACAAGGAGGATCAGATACAAATGTAAAGGTGAGGATTGGCAAAGCAAGTGCCGCATTCCTACGATTGAAGAACATATGGGACTCGAAACAAATTTTAACCAATATCAAAGTCAGAATCTTCAATACGGACGTCAAGACAGTTCTACTGTATGGGCAGAAACTCCGAGAATTACAACAACCACCATCAAGAAGGTACCAGTATTTATAAATAGTTGTCTACAAAAGATACTCAACATCCATTGGCCGGATACTATCAGCAACACCATTTTGTGGGAGAGGACAAACCAGCTTCCAGCTAAAGAGGAAATTAGGAAAATATTATGGAAATGCATAGGACATACATTACGCAAAACATGAAACTGCATCACGAGGCAAGCCCTATTTTGGAATCCTGAATACAAGTGGAAAAAGTGGAAGGCCGAAGAACACATTACGTGGGGAAATAGAAACAGATATGAAAAGGATGAATAACAACTGGAAAGCATTGCCCAGGACAGGGTTGGATGGAGAGTGCTGGTGGGCGGCCTATGCTCCTTCACGAGGAGTAACAGGCGTACGTTTAGAGAATATATTATTCCCGATGTAAACATCAAGTCTGAGATCCATCTGCCTTATATCTGTGAAAACTGTCACCATAAGGCTGTTCCGTAACTAACTATGAGCCTGAATATCCGCACAGGTTCAAGTAACCGTGTGGGGGTGTCTTGTACATCTGGATGGAGTCTGACCCATTACATTTAAATTTTCTTAGCACATTGGCAGGCACATTTAATTATCACTAGCCCCTATTATTCTTAGACGAATAGAGGAGTAATTATATCAAGATCAATGTACCTGTCTGATAGGATTGAAGTTGATGACTAAGACACATATGAAGTCTCAGTCCTATTGATTCTATATGATCGAAACATGAAATAAGGTTTACATCTTAACCGACGCGGTTGAGCAAAAACACGTAAATATCACAATAATTTCAAAGGATGCTCATAGTTTACGTGTGAATGACACTTCACATCATTTACTAAAATCATAAAAGAATTTTTCAGATCTAAACACAATCTGAATAAGTGTTAGCATTTCTATTAACATAGAAGTGTAACTGCTGAGTCTATGGTATAACCGCCAACCACTATTTACTTGATGAATAATCACATAGAAGATACGTCTAGCGAGTAGTGAAAATGCCTCGAATTAATAGGTGAAAATATGCAAAATGTTTATCAATTCTACGACTGATTGTACTTAAACAGTAAATGATAAGAAAAGCTTCTTCATTCATGTGTTCTTAACAAACGTATAATAATAATATTATGCTATTTATGATGGATTAGATGCTACAGACTATTGTGGTGTATAAATACTTACACAGAACAATAGATCCACATTGTTTGGTTACCAACTCTTTGTTACATAATTACCCTTTGTTAATCACAATTGATTGATCACTGGATGGTGATCAATGTTATGTGTGTCAAGTCCTTATTAGTGCAGATCAAATGCTGTCGACCAAGTTGCAATGTGGCCACCAGTCTATATTACTCGACACTAAGTGCACTATGTTGACATTAGATGGTGGTTGGAGGTAGTCGACAGAAAACCCTGGACCCGGGTTTCGTGCTACTTGGTACGTGTCAAGCAAGGTGTACCTGTAATCTTGAGGGAACTGGTGTTCCCTGACGGATTCGATCCCGTGTCACCCAGCTTCACAATCAGAGACGTTACCATTGAGCTATCCGGGCTGCGACCGACCTCTTGTAGGACTGAGATGTAATCACAATTGATTGATCACTGGGTGGTGATCAATGTCATGTGTGTCAAGTCCTTATTAGTGCGCTTTGTTAATCTATCAGAGAATTCGCACAGACTAGAGTAGATATGTTTATTCACGTATAAAACTGAATCACTTTTTAAGCAATGGAGTAACTACAAGATCTGAACGATAAAATGAATTCATCACTTTCTTACGGCTTTTCAATTACAAACGGGATAAGCTCACAAGCCTCCGAATGCCCTGGTACGGCCGAGAGTAGTGAGAGTCAGCTCTCCCTCTCCGAATGCTCTCACACATGGACACGGGCATACAACCACTACCACAGAAATTTGCTAGGTTTTAAGCGATTACGAGTTCATTTAGACTGCGAACGGAACAAAGACTCGGTGACCACAAACCAATAAGCTAGCTATTTGATGCGTCCCAGCCTCGCTAACTAGAGGAAGAAGTCCAAGCTTGGAATGAGGAAGTATATTCTGCAAACAGCCACAAATCAAAACGTATATATACAGCACAAAACCGTCCAAATAGCATACTAGAAGACGCAACGGACCAATAGCATTTAAGATATTTCCCCAGTGGGAAATACGACATGAAGGTGACAAGAGCTTTTTTGGTGCGGAAACAAAGAAATTGAAATTTTCCTAATAAAATTACAAAATTAGGTCCTTTTCCAGTAGAGTTCTGGGGATCTGACGTCCCCAACACACGCCTTTTTAATAGCGTACTTTCCTGGGATCGACTTGCACCTTGACTGTTGTTCGCCGCTGTCGGAGAGGTCACCTTCTGGAAAGGAGATCAGCTTGTTGTTGAGCTTCTTCTTGTGGT